CTAAAAGTAGCTATTGGGTTAACATTTGCTTGCTGTGTTTTTGCTCTTAATGTACTAAGGTTGTGTTATAGAAACCATTGTTAATATAGTTAAAGATCTAGAGAAATAAGAGCTTAGCCCTAGTGTAGTAATAAAGAGATGGTTGTTAATTGTCAGCCAGGAGTGCTAGGCAGAGGCTGCCTCACCAAAGTCACAGAGTCAGTGTGGGGTAAACCTCTTAGATAAATTTAACTGACAACTTCTGCAGAAGAACTAACTTTTATGTTAACAAGGTTATACTTCTACTCTGTACTGTTGCCCTATGAGCCTGCTACCTTTCAGTTAAGGTCACCAGAGAAACAGAAAATAGGTTTACATTCACCTGACCTGCATAAAATGTTAATAGGCCCCAAGGCCAGAAGATAATGTACAAGACCCCCATAAACAAAGAAGTATGCAGAAAACACCCTGGTTTTGTGAAGGGCAAGCTGACGTAATGTTAAACTATCTTCCCCTTAGAAATGTACTAACTTAGGGTATAAAAGCTATGGTAAAAAAGAAAGGATTGCCAGACTCTGCCAGTCCCTGCTGCACCCCACGTCTGGTCACTCTCTCTCTCTCTCTCTCTCTGTCTCCCTCGCAGACTTGGCCCTATCAAGGCTGGTCTCACGTGTCTTCTCTCGCCAACGCTGTTCATCCTGAGGGTTCCCCCTGGATCCTGCTGGGGCTGGACGCTGGCAGCAACCCACTCCAATATTCTTGCTTGGTGAATCCCATGAACAGGAGAACCTGGCAGTCTATAGTCCATATTGTCACTAAGAGTCAGACATGACTGAAGCGACTGAGCAAGCACGCATGGACTATCTGAAACTAAAAAGTTTTTGCATAGCTGAAATACTATCAACAAAATGAAAAAGCAACCATCAAAACAGGAGAAAACCTTTGCAAATCATATATCTGATAGGGGATTAATATTCTAAATATATAAAGAACTCATGCAACTCAATATAATCAAATAAACAGTTCAAGTTAAAATGGGCAGAGATTCTCAAGAGACATTTTCTCAGAGAAGACACACAAATGGCCAACAGGTCCATGAAAATGTATTCAACATCGCTCATAAGCAGTAAACTGCAGGTTAAAACTACAGTGAGATGCCACCTCACAGAATGCCACACACAGAGGATGTGCAGAAAAGTGGAAACCTGTGCACTATTACTGTGGATGTAAATCTGTGCAGCAACTATGGAAAACTTGTATGGAGATTCCACAATAAATAAGAAAATAGAACTACCATATGATCCAGTGATCCTACTTCTGGGTACGTATCAAAAAGAAATGAAAACAGTATCATGAAGGGATATGGGCATCCCCATGTTTATTGCTGTATTATTCACAGTAGCTAAAATATGGAAACAACCTAAGTGTCTGTCAATGGATAAATGGATAAAGATGTGGTGCATATACATATACACGATGGAATATTGTTCAATATTCCTACCATTCCTACCTACCAAAAAGGAACTCCTACCATTCGGGACAACATGGACAAATCTTGAGGGTGTGATGTTCAGTGAAATTATTCAGATAGAGAAAGACAAGCACTGTATGATCTCACTTTGTGTGGAATCTAAAAAGGCAGAACTCATAGAAATAGAGTAGAGTGGGGTTCGTGGGGTTCATGGGGTTCAGCGGCTGTTCATGGGGTCCCCGAGGCAAGATTACTGAAGTGGTTTGCCATTCCCTTCTCTAGTGGACCACATTTTGTCAGAACTCTCCACCACGATCCATCCATCTTGGGTGACCCTACATGGCATGGCTCATAGTTTCATTGAGTTTGACCAGGGGCTGGGGATTGATGGAAATGGAGAGATGTCGGTCAAGGGTAGAGACTTCTGGTTATAAGATGAACCATTCCTGGGGAAATAATGTACAGCATGATGATTATAGTTAATAATAGTGTGTTATATAACTGAAAGTTGCTAAGAGAGTAGATCTTAAATGTTCTTACCACAAAAAGATATGGTAATAATTACATGAGGTGACTTAGATATTAGCAGGCTATAGTGATAATCATGCTGCATTCTATATGTATCAAATCAACAAGTTGTACTCTTTAAGCTTACACATGTTATATGTCAGTTATATCTCAATAAAACTGAAAAAAAATGGCATGTCTTTGGGTAAGCCATTTGTCTTCTCTGAATCTCAGTTCCTTCAACTAGAAAATTTAAAAAGTCATTTTTATTATTATTATGGACATTTCCACGGCACTTACCAGGCCCTGTGCTATTCATTATATATATATATATATATATATATATATATATATATATATGTATATATATGTGTGTGTGTGTATATATATATATATATGTATATATATGTGTGTGTGTGTATATATATATATATATATATATGAAAGTGAAAGTGAAGTCACTCAGTCATGTCCAAATCTTTGCTACCTCATGGACTGTAGCCTACCAGGCTCCTCCATCCATGGGATTTTCCAGGCAAGAGTACTGAACTGGGTTGCCATTTCCTTCTCCAGAGGATCTTCCCGACCCAGGGATCGAACCTGGGTCTCTGGCATTGTAGGCAGACGCTTTACCGTCTGAGCCACCACGATGTATATAAATCCCTTTAATCCTCAAAGTAACACTTGGAGGTAGATACTATTAATATCGGCTTCCCTGGTGGCTCAGAGGGTAAAGCGTCTGCCTGTGATGCAGGAGACCGAGGTTCGATCCCTGGGTTGGGAAGATTCCTTGGAGAAGGAAATGGCAACCCACTCCAGTACATATCTGATTCCCAAGTGGCTCAGTGGTAAAGAATCTGCCTATTAAACAGGGGACATGGATTAAAATCTCTGGGTCAGGAAGATCTCCTGGAGAAGGAAATGGCAATGAACTCCAGCATTCTTACCTGGGAAATCCCGTGGACAGAGGAGCCTGGTGGGCATGGAGTCGCAAAACAGTGGAACACAATGTTGTGACTAAACAACAACTCTCATTATTCTCTTTTTACAGAAGAAGAACTGAGGCATACATAAAGGTTATACATAAATCATCTTAGGACAGAGCTTGTGAACAGCAGAACTAGGATTGAACTCTGAGAGTCTGGAACTCTCTAGAGTCTAGAGAGTCTTTCTATTCTGCTCAACTTGTGAAGCTCATTCCTTCCTTCACCATTCATCCTTCACTTACTCTTACCCACGTCAGAGGGTTGTTGTGATATTAAATGTGGTATTTTATGTAAAGTACTCCAACTGTACTAGCTGCTTTGGAAGGGTCTGCTTTGATCATTTGGGTTGTTGCTCGTCTCAAAGAACAAGCTGAGTCAGGACAGGACTGAGTGACTGAACTAAACTGAACTGTAGAGAAACTTCATTGGTTCACACATGCATCACCATCACAATTCTTGCCAAGCCTGTGTACTGCCTGTATTAATAATTACTTGATATTTAAATTGGGCTTCCCAGCTGGTGCAGTGGTAAGGAATCTGCCTGCCAATGCAGGAGCTGCAAGAGATGCAGGTTAGATCCTTGGGTCAAGAAGATTCCCTGAAGAAGGAAATGGCAATGCACACCAGTATTCTTGCCTGGAAAATTCCATGGATGGAGGACCCTAGAGGGCTACCCTGAGTCGCAAAGAACTGGACACAATTAAGCATGCACAAAGGCAATTATTTAAATTAGTTAACTTTTCACTGAATAAATGTAATCTCATTACAGTCATTGGAAAATCAGTATTGTTACAAAATATGTACCATGAAAATAAACTCTTATTAAGTCCTCTCTAGATTCAACTACCTAAAGCCTTTGAAGTTAAGGCCTATTTTGTTAAAGGGAGATTAGTAAATCTTGAGAAGAATTAAAGATTAACACCAAACTGTGACTTTCTCATTGGTATAATAAGAAGAATTTAAAGAGGAGTAAAAAAGAAGTAGTATTTTCACCATGCGATAGAAAGTGATTTAGGGATTTATCTCTGCATCCCCTGAATTCAACCATAGGTAAACTGTGACAATAGCTAAGAGCATAGACTCAGAAGACAGATTCCCCCCACCTCACAATTTGCTGGCTATCTTGTCCTGCGAACATAGTTCCTCTCACCCTCACTTTCTTCATCGGTAAAAGAGTACTTATAAAGATGTTGATTATAAATGAACGAATGAAGGTAAAGCACAAAATCTAATACATAGTAAATGCTTAATAAACATAAGCCACCATCATCACCATTATTATTAAGCTTTGCACATTAGTCTCTGGACTTTTAAAAATGTTTTACAGTTTTTAGTTGCATAACAATAATATTCATTAAAGTAAACACACAGCGATCACTACAATAGGTTATTCTCTGGGTTTTATATGTATGTGTTAGCCACTCATTCATGACCGATCCTTTGTGACCTTGTGGACAGTAGCCCACCAGGCTCCTCTGTCCATGGAATTCTCCAGGCAAGAATACTGGAGTGGGTATCCCCTCCTCTAGGGGATATTCCTGATGCAGGGATCGGACCCAGGTTTCCTGCATTACAGGAATATATATACAGGCATATATATATATATATATATATGCCAAACCATATTTTACATATATAAACATTTTACATACGTTAAGAATTATTATTATCCCAGTTTAAACTATTATGATAATTTATTCTTATCCTTCGTTCCCACAGATGAGGTTTTTGCGGGAACGGGGGCAAAATCGGCCCCCGTGACATTTCTGGTGGCCTCCTTTTCCACCTTTTTTGGGGCAGATGCCAGAGGCAGGGACTCAAGCCGCCAGACATCAAGGGCTAACAAATGAGATCACTCCTCCTTCTGCGCGCGGGCCCTCGCCCCGCCCTCCGACGCCGCTGCGCTCCAGGTTGGCCCCGCCCCGTGTGGAGGCGGGGCTTCCCCTGTGCCGGCGGCGCTGACGTCACGGTCCCGCGCCCTCTACGCCTGTTCGCGCCTGCGCTGCGGCCGGAAGGTCGTCCCTGTGACCGGCTTGGCTTTTGGAGCTGCCGTCGCCATGTTGTCGGTCGCCGCCCGCTCGGGCCCGTTCGCGCCCGTCCTGTCGGCCACGTCCCGCGGGGTGGCGGGCGCGCTGCGGCCCTTGGTACAGGCCGCGGTGCCCGCCACCTCGCAGTCGCCTGTGCTGGACTTGAAGCGCTCCGTCCTGTGCCGGGAGTCCCTCAGAGGCCAGGCCGCGGGCCGGCCTTTGGTCGCTTCCGTTGGCCTCAATGGTGAGCCGGGCTGACGGGTGCCTCTTGGCTTGCTCCTTCCGGCCCTGGACGCAGGGAGAAGTCGAGAAGGGCAGGGGGTTGCGGGAAAATGGAACAGAGCCTTGGTTGGGAATGGCATGGCCTGCGGGCTGGGTCGACCTTGGTTAGGCCTCTGCGCCTCCCCAGGCCTCTGTGTCCGCACCTGTGCGGATGTGATAGTGATAGATTTGAAAGACTGATTTAGCCATAAGCTCTCACCTAAAGTATATTTTAAGCCTCTTGTCAGCAGATCCTAGTTTAGCTTTGGTACCTTGTTCTCTGTTTTTATGCACTGTTTGGAGATCCTTAATTGGCAGCTTGTGAGCCAGGTACCTGTAGTCTACTCTTGCCTGCATAGTTGTTAGAAACGGACTATCTTTGGCGTCTCTTGAAATGTTGAAAGTTGGCAGTGCTGGGCTCTGGTTTCCATTGTCGTGTGTACTGTGCATTGGTCGCACCCTTCATTTGAAGCAAGTGCTTCTCCAGTTCATCACAGTCCTTATCAGGCCTTCTTGATATTTTATGTTACTTGCCTGGCCCCATTGACCTTTGCGTTACATGAAGTTGTCCCCCACCCTCTTAAGTCGGCCTGCATTTACCCTTTTAGCTTTACTTTAAACGTCCCTCCCAGTTTTCCACATTTCCAAGTTTTACCCATCCTCTCAATCTCAGTTCAGGATCAGGTTAGTAAAATCTTATGTTGCTGATTCCTTTATGTTTTATAGCACATAAGACTTTCTGTTCTTTTTGGATTTATTGAGGATTCCTCTGACCTTGACCTTCAAGGTATAGAGAGTATCCTTTATTTTTCTGTCTTCCACAACCTCAGATTTTTCATGTAGTTGGTGCAGAGTATTTGTGAATGAATAAAGTGGCAGTTTTTCTTAGTGTGCACCCGGGTTTTAGAGAAATTGCCCAAGCCAGTTATTTGGACCCAAATGAGAAACAATTAGGGAGGAGAAAATTTCAATAACAAAGATGAAAAATATCTTGGAATTTGTCAAATGACTAAAGAGTTTCTTCTAAAAATCACAGGCTTACTTGACTTTTCCAAGAAGTGGTAGAGGTATAAGGCAAACCTGTTTTCTGTAATTTTGCCTTCAGCTTGAAGCTTAAGTTCATGTTAAAATTTTCTGTATAGATGGTTTGTGGAAAGATGGTTAATAGAGGGTATGGTAAGGGGCAGTTGAGTCAGAAGAAGATCCCTGAATTGGGATACATTAGAGCTCACTTTAAACAAAACTGTTTTGTTATAATGCCTTAAGTTTTCTCCATTTCTAGATGATGTTTCTATAAGTATTTGATTTTGTTTTCATTTAAAGCTCAATATAGCTAACATCTTTGCTACTAAAAGTCACACCTAATAGAATTCATGTGAATTATTTAGAGAATGATTTTTACAGTATAGCAGTTTAATTTCCCAAAGTGTCCTTAATGATGGAGTTCAATATAAAGTGTAACCTACTAGATAAAATGGGAGCAGACAACTGTATTTCCTTTGTTACTAAATCTCTGGATGATAATGTCAAAGTCATTCTCTGTAGTATCCTGTTCATTTCCTTGTGTGGAAGAATTGTAGACAGGGCTTTTAAGTATGAACTTGGGTTTCTTCATCTTTTACATATGCTGTGCATCTCTTTCCTGTGTAATCCCAGACAGTGCTAGGGGAAAGTAAATCACACTTAAGTAGGGTAGTATGTGATACAATGTCACTTTGCTATAGTTGCGAGTATCCAGTAGTCATTACCTGTGTCCTTGTCCCCTCCAAAAAATGTTGAGTGAGTTAGAAAAGTACATTAGAGTGATTTTGATAGGTTTCTCCATTGTTTTTGACTACTTATGGCTTCCACAAAGTTACTGATCATGTGAAACATATTCCTTATTGTAATGTTTGACTGCTCAAGGAAGTATGTTAGGGTGAGACAGCCTAGTAGATCAACTAGAATTGCAGCTTATATGACAATGCTTTTTATAAGAACATTTTCTAAAATTGAGGAATGTTTAGTGTCTCCTTTTCTAAAAAGCAGGTCCGTATTGTAGATTTTTTTAAACAAATATGCAGTTTGCAAAGAGATTTACTTTCTGAAACATACTTAAAGGTGATACCGTAAGTTAATTTTTTGTCAGACATTAAAAAATGGTATGGGACAGGACATATCTGTTGTTTGAAAAAAGACACTGTTTGCATCCATAATACAGTAAGAACCTCCAAGTTTTGAACTTCCAAAGATTGGAACTTGTGTTCCATCAGCGTCAGGTGTGAGTGAAGTCGCAGCTTGCCCTTCGTCCTGTGCTCTACCATCTCCCACCTCCTCTCCCTCCTCCAGTGGGCACCGCTTGCCTGTTCATTGGATGCCAGCCCCTATATGCCACCTGTTGTACTTCTATACTTTTCAAGATTAAGAATATATATTTTTTATTTTTTGTGTGTTTGTTTTTTATGTATTATTTGTGTAAAAAGAATTATAAACCTGTTACAGTACAGTACTGTGTAGTTGATTGTGTTAGTTGGGTACCTAAGCTAACTCTGTTGGACTTTGGAACAAATTGAACTCACAAATGCCACTCTCAGAACAGAATTCATTTGTATGTGGGGGACTTACTGTGCTGCATAAACAGTAATTATTTGGTTGTTTAATGTTCATTTGATATTAACATCTGGCTTATTTATGGCCTGGAGTAGAGTGTCCCAGTTGAGATCCACAGCAGTAAAAAAAATACATAATAATACCTCACTCTTAGATGTTATTGCCCTTCACTGATGTTATATGAAAAAAATTGCTCTTTTTTTATTATACTAAATTGAAGTAATTGGTTCTTTTGGAGATTTCATTTGATTTTGATAGTTACATAGTCTGATAAGGGTGCCTTTTCTGCCCATTAGTGGTTTTATTTGAATTTTTACCCCAAAATCTGTTTACAGAATGTTTATTATCTTACAGTTCTTAATTTATGAATTTTTAGAAGTTCGGAGAGCAGGTAGACAGGAAGATAAAGTTAGATATTTGATTTAATAAGATGTTCACATCAATTTAATGAACGGACTAGATGAGTTTTAGGTTCTTTTCTAATCCAGAAAATATAGATGATGTTTAGCATAATAGCACAGTATATCTTAGCAGGTTGAATTTTTGGAGAGTTAAAATATTGCTGTTTGCAGTACTGTTTAACTTTTTTTTAACCTGGTGCACTGAACTGTTACAAATTCTGAATCAGCAGTGTTCAATCAGGTGGAGTCAATTATACATATTATGATTTCATACCAATATGATAGGTAGTGGTTGGCTTAATTTTGTTTTCAGAATTTTATTTGCTGGCACTGCCAACTTGGCCATTTCTGAGACCAGTAAGTGCCGTATTTCATGTTTTAATAATTTTATTTTTGCTTATGAATTCATAAGGGCCCATTCCCTGATGTATGCCTCTTTCAGGGTCCTCATCTAATTGTGTTTTTTTAACCTTCTGTTTATCTTGCAGTCCCTGCTTCTGTTCGTTATTCCCATACAGACATCAAAGTGCCTGACTTCTCTGACTATCGTCGCCCTGAAGTGTTAGATAGTACAAAGTCTTCAAAAGAGAGCAGTGAGGCTCGAAAAGGTTTTTCCTATTTGATAACTGCAACAACTACTGTGGGTGTTGCATATGCTGCCAAGAATGTCGTCTCTCAGTTTGTTTCCAGCATGAGTGCTTCTGCTGATGTGTTGGCCATGTCGAAAATTGAAATCAAGTTATCCGATATTCCAGAGGGGAAGAACATGGCTTTCAAATGGAGAGGCAAACCCCTGTTCGTGCGCCATCGAACCAAGAAGGAAATTGACCAGGAAGCTGCCGTTGAAGTGTCCCAGTTGAGGGACCCACAGCATGACTTAGAGCGAGTAAAGAAACCGGAATGGGTTATCCTGATAGGTGTTTGCACTCATCTTGGTTGTGTACCCATTGCAAATGCAGGAGATTTTGGTGGTTATTACTGCCCTTGCCATGGGTCACACTATGATGCGTCTGGCAGGATCAGGAAGGGGCCTGCACCTCTCAACCTTGAAGTTCCCTCATATGAGTTCACCAGTGATGATATGGTGATTGTTGGTTAGAGACCTGGACTCAAGTTATAGGCTTCGTTCAGTCTCATGTCACCTCAGAAGAGTTACTTGAGAACAAGCCTTCTGTGCTTTGAATTAGTTGATTTGAAATATTTAAGAATTGCTAATAATGTGTTTGCAAACATGTAAAGTAAATTGAATTTAATGTTGAGTACTTTCGAGCATTCACCTAAAAAAGCCACCATTAAACATTGTTATGCTCAAAGGGTGCAGTGTCTCTGATAGTTAATTCTAATTAAAAATTGTAGACCAGTGTATAAAATATTTGTGAAATCTGTAATTGACTTTCTTGTTTATTTACCTTCTGTCAGGGATAGAGATTCTACAGAGCTCATGGTTAGGTTGAGGTGGAATTAGCTGGTCATCGCCAAGACCTGGGAGATGTCTTTTGGCATTGGCAGAAACAATAGTATCCAAGTTTCTTTGCTGTTTTGCACACCTGGCTATGCACACCTTCCACTCCCACCTGTATGACAGGCCAAGAAATTTTATTCATCATTTATGGGAGTAACTTATTAATTAGAATTCTTCAGTTTTAAGAGGCAGTGGTGTGGGATATTATCTGAGAGAAGCTTTCCAAAATGGAAGTGCTGCTCTGGTATTTGCTTCATCTGGTGGAGGTATTTATGTCCCCCAGAGCTCATACATCCATCCTGTTAAGAGGCAGAAAGGACATAGTATATCTGAGATTTAATACTACCTTTGTGTGAAAATGATCCTGCTGGTTTTGTTTCTTTGATGGTGGCATTTTGAGGTGCTTTTTCCAGTTGGATTTGCAGACACCACTTTTCACTGTGAAGTGGGTGGGGACAGGGAGACAAACCTGAATTAACCCCCTCTTCTTTCTGCTTCTTGCTTCCAGTTCACAGGTCGAATAAGACCAAGATCTGGTATTCTCTGTAGGAACTGGAAGTGGACTTTGCCTTTTGTTGAGATCACCAGCTATCTTGATAGGTTTGTCTTGTCTTTTCCATTTGGAGGTGGGTTAGTAATGTACTCCACTGGGCACACCTTGTGATCACACTTGTTTTTGTAAAATAGCAAATGAGATTCAGTGATTAGGTCTTCCAGAGGGAACTGGTCTTTCAGGGTTCTAGACCTTAAACTTAATGTGTGTCAAAAAAGAAAATGTCAGTTTCCAGGCTTACAAGTAGATAATAATCTTTGGTTCATTTTTGACATCCATTCTAGAGGGAAAATTAGCAGGTACGATATACGGGGCACTTAATAGTATTTTGTTCCAGATCTCCATATAATGACATTTAGGTTCAAGTATTTAGGTATAAATATGAGACAAACCTGCAAACTTGCTACTTTTTGACGTGTTCTCTATTTTAAATGGAGGGCCCTCTGACCTTTATGTGTGTATGTAGATTACCAAGGAAAAGTTGGTATTGTTTCATTTAAAAATAGTGAAACTGTATCATGTATGAGTAATATATATTTGTAGTGTTTGGTTTTAATATTTGGATCATTTTATGTGAAGTTTTTTTTCCCCCCTGATTTATTATGAGGCCAAGAGAATCAGTATCTATTTGTTGGGTATTTTGCTTGTTCATCATTTTGGTGAAGATTCCATTTTTAAAATATTCATGGACAAAATTGTATACCTTTTCCTATACTCGTGCTACTTTTTAATGGTCCCAGTTGCCCACAACTTACTGTTTAAAACTATAATACCTCCAGTAGAAGCTGACAAATTTTGAGGCTGTTTTCTTTTTTTAAGTGGCCCCAGGAGCTGTTCATAACTTCTTGGGATATACTAATAGGAACTTTGCTGTATGTATTTTACATTTGTAGAATTATTGCTTGGAGGAACTTTGTGGGGTGATAAAGATTCAACTTTTAATTTGAAGGTGAATTAACCTTAAGTAGAGATCTTGAAACACTGAATGAATCCTTAGAACCCAGCAAATTGTGTGACTGTTCATTCGTCATCCTATGTCAAAAAGAATTGATAACGGTGTTATTTGTACATCATTGAAGCTGCTGAGCTCCAGTATCTAGCAGGTAGTTGCTAGTTGTTAGTTGCATGAGTTGGCATGGTGTAGTGGAAGAAGTACTAAATTGGAACTTTAGGGTTTTCTGGCTTTGCCATTTCCTAACCATGGGCCTGTCACTTACTCTCCTTAGGACAGTTGTTCTCTAAGAATCCTTCCAACTAAAATTTTTTAAGCCCGTTAATCTTACTCCCATAATAATGAGAATTGATTTCCTTAGATAAACATTTGTTGTATTTGGTTCAGACTCAGGTAGAATTGTTTTAATTAACAGAGCCAACCTTTCATAACTGGTGCTCAACCAGGGGCAGTTCTGCTGCTTTATGGGGCATTTGTGGCCATCGTTGGATGTCAGAATGGTTGCAGGGTGCTTTCAGTATTGGGGGAGGTGGTTCTGAGTGGGGGAAACAGGAATGTAACATGTTCAGTTGAGGAAAACAGATCCACACACTGGGGGGAAAAAGTGCTGCCAAAAATGATAACAGCACCATTTTTCTGTAGAGAAAGTTCCATTTTTCTCCTACCCTGAAGTGATAACCTCAAAATAGTTGATATTTTCATATTTGAAATGCCAAAACAACTGCATTAGAGGCTACCTGGCAGTGGAGGACAAAAATAGGCAATTTACTGATTCCTAGATATATCACAGGCATTATGTGCTGGAATTGCCGTATTTGGTGGACTGCTTATATCTTTCATGATACTTTGACTAATGCTGTTAAACCATTAAATCCCAATATCCCATTTAATTTTTAAGAAGAAGGTTTTTCCACAAGTGACTGGAAAAGTAAAATTACTTACACTACTTTGCTAAATGAGTGGATAGAGCAGATCTATGTTATCTTTTTTATTATTTTGCTGAAACAAAATTCTAGATATTGGGGAGAAAAATGGGGGAAGCCTGACCAGTTGGCACCTTGATGTGAGATTATTCGCATGTACTTCTCTATACAGGGAATTGGGGCAATCTTGAGGTCCATGCCACATGATCTTAAAAGAGGGGTTATAGGAAAGATTATTTCTTTAAAAAGAATTTGTTACGAGATAACACCAAATTTACCATGATCTTTCGGATCATACCTTTGGAAAATCTTTGACTCAGTCCGAGTCCTTATCTGATATCAAAGTGTGATATTAAGTTCTCTCTAATTTTTCTGAACAATGGGAATGTACTGTTTGTCTGAATCTCAGAGAAGTCATTCTTCATTCCAGTGCTGCTGAAACTCATTTTCTGTATTTTCATGTCATGTGAATATCATTGCATTTTTTATATTAACACAAAATGTCCATATTTTTGAGAATGATATCCTTGACCCAGTGTTCTAACACATTCTCATCTGTGTTTTCTAATGACTCCCCTTGACCACTTCTCTAAACTTCATACTCCATTCAGCTGCTTAGCTGGCATCTGTGCATGGGCGTTGCATTAACACCTGAAACTCAAAATGTCCAAAAGAAAAGGAAGTCCTGTCTTTTTCTGAAGCCATCTTCATTGCAGTTGGCAAGCTTAAAACTCCTAGTCCCTCCTGCCTCCTTTTCCATTACAGTCAATCCCCAAACCCTGCTAATTGTGTCTCCTTAATAAAACAGATCGAATTACTGTCTCTGTAATCTGTTGTTCAGTCGCTAAGTTGTGTCAAGCTGTTTGCAATCCCATGAACGGCAGCATGCCAGGCTTTCCTGTCCTTTGCCATCTCCCAGAGCTTGCTCAAGTTCATGTGCATCGAGTTGGTGATGCCATCCAACCATCTCACCCTCTGTTACCTCCTTCTCTTGCCGTCAGTCTTTAGAGTCTTTTCCAGTGAGTCGGCTTTTGGCATCAGGTGGCCAAGGTATTGGAGCTTCAGCTTCAGCCCCAGACCTTCCAGTGAATATTCAGGGTTGATTTCCTTTAGGATTGACGACAATCTGTAGCATTCTAATAATGACAAACTTTTAGAGCACTGATTCCTAGTCACCCACGCTAAGTGTACTTTATGTGTATTATCACATTTAAAACAAAAAATCCTATCAGGTAGGACAACCAACAAAAACTTGGTTGCTATTCCTAGTTTACAGAGAAACTGAGGCATGCAGAAGTTCCTTGTTTACAATCACAGCTGGTAGGTTTTATTTCAGCCCAAGGAGTCTTGAGTCTAGAGCCTGTATTTCTGATCACCATTATATATATATAATTGAAAAAGATCTCAAAGCACTATACCCAAGTTCTTGTCCATTTTTGCTTGGTCTAATTGCAGCAAGATTCCAAGCAGGCCTTTTCCTCCAATCCTGTCCCCTAAAAACCGATCCATCCTCTACATAGTTACCAGAAGAGTATGGGTGTGGTTCCTGGGTTCCAGTGTTGGCTCTGCTATTTCTTAGGTGATCTGCTATAAATTACTTCATCTTTTTGTGCTTCCGTTCATCTGAAAAATAATACCCTCTAAGTGTTTCTTTATGAATGAATACATTAGTGTAGGTCAAGAGATGACTTCTAAACTCCTGAACATAGAACCTCTGTAAGGTGCTACTTGCATGCATCCGGTCAGTAAACCGTTTGCTCCAATAACATGACTTGCTTGTTGTCACTGATGTTCTCCTTTTAACCTCTTCCCACACTGACCCCTTTGCCTTGTTTCCCTTCCTTTTTTATTAACTAGGCTGACATCTGCCTTTAAGACCTAGTGTGGTACTCTGCACCTAAATCGCATAGACTTCTCCAGCAAGTTTCCCCCAAATAACCAGGACATAGCCATTTAGATATTTGTATTTTACTTCATTGTAACGTTCACTATCCTGTTTTGTCTCCCCACCACCAGGCAAGAGGCTGGGGCCCATAGCAAGTACTCAGTCATGGATTTGAATTCTGAATGGGGGAAAGAGGTGAATTTCTGAGTGGCATTTGAAAGGAAAAATTTCTCGGGTGTACTTTGTAAATATCAGCTTTGACATTAAAAAAAATAGAACAATCGTGTAACATCTGTGTATCTTACCTTTCTGGGATTTTAGGGG